TGGATGGATGGATGGATGGATAGTCAGTGTGACGATATGCTGTGGTGACCCCTAACGGGAAAAGCAGAAAGTGACAATCATTCATATATAGCCTATCATCCATCCTCCCTATGGCATTTGCGATTTGATTGACATGCAAAGCAGCCAGTATGAGATCTTGTCTTTTCTGACACACGAGTCACCAAGCATGCAGAGTCAACCACACGGGCTACTGCAAAACTCCAATTAGCAAACTACTTTGTCAGCCTTCGAATTCATTTCTACTAAAGGGTATAAAATGAGTGGGGGAGCCGAATCAAGTAAGAAACCGAAAACGTACTGAAAACATTCCATGCGGAATAGGAGGAGGACATTATATTCCCGTGACATTATATTCGAAGTGCGTTTACTTGATCCACCAATCTACCATCACTATTCCAAAGAAGGGAAATGTGGAGGGGCACTTTCAGACTGTTCATAACAACTACGACACTCATTCATACATATATTTTGTGCATCTGCATGCGCACATGTAGTATTTTTAGTGTAGGGCGATCATTTTGACTTGGTCATTTGAAAAGTAGCTCGCAAGGCGAGGCGAAAAAATTTGGGCACCCCCGTGTTAGACTATTTACAAAAAATACTAAGCTGCTGATGTATGGAGACCACGTGTTATATTGTATTGCTAGGCAAAAGGATATAGTGTAATGTTTTGTTATCGTAATATAATGAATTTCGATATATTGTCCCATCCCTACTGTATAGTGTGTGTAAATTACATATACTGTAGATGGAGTATATTGTACATCAGAGTATATACTGTACATTGTACTTATTAGTCACAGATCACATATCATATACAGCTGCTGCATTGCTTGATTCACATTTTTATCTTTCCTTTATTTCAATAAATAAATAATATTTAATATTTCATAAGTTTTATCACCATATATTACCTAATCCCATCATATTTTCACTACCTATGTCAACGGTAAGTTTTTCACCTTTGCAGCCACTTCAGCACTGATCTCATCCTGTGTCTCAGCTAGTCTCTTCTTGGCCAGCTCAGTCCTGCGGTCACAGTCAGCAATGAAAGACTGAAGGTGTTCAGCAGCCTGAAAGAAAACACAAGACATAACCAAGCTTTTGTGTGTGTAAATTATCCCATGTTGCTTATGGTAGATAGGTATAGTTTGCACAGGAAAATATTCTCTAACTAGCCACAACGAGAAACAGATAATACACTGACTGAACCACACATTACCTACATTGCGCCTGCTTTAAAGCAACAATGTTTATCTGCTGTGCTCATAGTACCAGTGACCAACAGACATCACCCATGTCTGCCCATTCTTTCAAGCTATTGTCAATAACGCTTCAGCTCCACTGAAACCGCGCTCTGATATGGCTGGGGGGGAAGGGGGGGGGGTGTGTCAGATTAGCACAAGGACAAAGTGATTTAATGTTAGACCTCTATTCAAATCAGCCATTAGATTCTTGATTTGTACAAAGAAGGTCCAATGAAAACATGGCGGAATGCGGTGACAAACTGACAATGCCCCTGAGTTTTTCATCCATCTAAGAAGACTAAGATTGATGCATGACCATAAGAGGATGAAAATAAGGATGAGTCCCATGAGTTAAGATATTTTCCATGGTATATGACCACTTTTTATTGCTGGATGGATGTAAACTGAGCACTGGATGTGTTGCAATTTTGTCATTCACTCCCCCAATACAGATTGGGGGAATGGACCAATCACAAGTAAGTTTACTATGGCATTGGGAAATAGTGTCAACCAAATCAGCAAAACAAATACAAAGCACCTTTTGATCAGGTGCCCCCATATTCACAGAACTACACAAATTATTGCTCACTGTCTTTCAAGTATACAGCAAATTTTCTCCTTGGATTTACACTGATCTCAGAAATGACCATTGGAACCCCAAAAAGTCCAGATTTCTGATAAAATACAGGGAATTTCCATTCCAGGTAATACTACGTATGAACTATGCATGAACTTCTAAATTCAAATTGAAGTTGTGTGTGTGACCTTTTAAGTGGCAGGAGCATCTTCTATGCAATTTTCACCCCCATCGCACAGCAGCGCATGGTGATATCATCTGGCAAAGGCTCTGTGCTGACCCATCATGTATGAGAGATGACTGGGGGGGACGGGGATGTGGACGCCCAGGGGAAGACGACTCTTGTTTACCTTGTTAGCATGAGCATTCACTGCTAATCACGGTGAAATTTGGGCCACAGGTACACACCATAACGACATGGTTTTAGTTAGTACTGGATTTTAAACAATGTTTTTTTATCTATCAATGCAGACAATGGTGGTAGATTTGGTGCTGAAGTAAAGTAGGCTACATTAGCAGCATGGCTAACCAAAACACATGTTTTTGCCAGACCGATGTGACACTCCATCACGCTCTGGTTCTATTATGTACTGATACTGTGAGACAGCTTTTCACCTCGGCAATAAATACTGTCATGTTTTAATATTGCAAGATGTTGTGGCACAAGATCTTACCACACCCCCATTTTGCACTAATAAGATATATAATAGTGTTCATATTACAATTCAATAGGAACTTGTGCTCACAAGTGTCCTGAAACTACACTGCTGTACAGAGTTTCTGAACACAGCCTACAGGATAATATTTGGAAATAAATTGTTCACTTCCTAATGTCACAATCTATTATCAAACATAATGGATACCAAGTGTCATATTAGTAAACGGTCCAGAGGTCCCAGTGATTTCAGCTTGGCAATAATGTTACCTCCAAAAATACATCAGCCAAGCCCCTTTATATTATCTGTAGGTCACACTTGGCAGTGTTTATAAACTGTTTAAGATATTCCTTCAGATGCATGTGAATTATGTAAGTGGACTCATGAAGGCACAATAAATTATCTAGAGAGCTATATATAGTGGTGTGTATGTGTAAAACTTACATCAAGTTCAAAGAAGTACTCCTGATCTTTAGAGGCAATCTCGTAGTCTGCTCTCAGGGCCAGATCATGGACTTTGATACACTCTCCCAGGTCCATTCTCTGCAGATATCACAAAAACACCAATGTATTGTGTTTATATGCATCACTGTTTCTTTTAATATGACAATAATTCCCAAATGTTATGTAGCATTTCAAGTGGCATCACTGTAAATGTGATACCCTTTGAGTCACAGTGCAGTCACAAAGTACTGAAACACATTTTGTGTTTGTGCTGTTCTACATCATTGTAAATTTGAAATTAAATAATGCTTTTGAAGTGCAGAGTCAAATTTAATTTCAGGTTGAAAAATGTTGGAACTATAGTTCCAACTATAGCTTTATTTATGGAGTCTCCCAGGTTGAGGGAACAACCTGGGAGACCAGTCCCAGTCCCTGGACAAGCTAAAAGTTACATCAAGCCCTTTACAGTCAAAATCTTGGTAAAATCTATGACCCAAAGATTAACTGTGTTTAGTACAGTCCCTAGCAATGTTACGTCAGGCTTGTACTGCAGCAACAGTCATGTCAGAGAATATTTGGATGCTTCAGAGAGTATTCTGATAACAAGGCAAGAAGGGCCTTGGTCACTTTAACAGAGCTTCAGGAGTCTGAAGCAGCCCTCCATCAATCAGGCCGTTATGGTTGAGCAGCTAGATGGAAGATACTTTGGGTAAAAGGCAGATGACAGCCCGATTGGAGTTTGATAAATGGTACTTAATGACTCTGAGAACATGAGGAAATAGATATTCTGGTCTGATCAAAAAAAAATTTGAACTACTAAGCACGATGTCTGGTGAACACCAGGCTCTGCTCATCACCTGGCTACTACCATCCCTACAGTGAAGCATGGTGGTGGCAACATCATGCTAAAGGAGTGCTTCTCAGCAGCAGGGACAGGAAGACTGCTCAGTATTAAGGATGAATGCAGCCAAATACATAGGGGTCCCTAAAGAAAGCCTGCACCAGAGAACACTCAACCTGAGACTGGGGCTGATGGGCCACCTTTCAGCACAACACTGACCCAAAGTATTCAGCCCAGATAATGCTGGAGTGGCTTCAAGACAAGTCCCTGACTGACCAAAGCCCAGACTTCAATGCCATGAACATATGAACAGACCTGAAGATAGCAGTACATAGATGCGTCCCACTCAATCTGACAAAGCTTGAGGGAATCCGCTACAAAGATTGGGATAAACTTCTTATATCCAAGGGTACAAAGCTTGTAGAAACTCACCCAAACAGACTCAAAGCTGTAGTTACTGCCAAAGGGGCTTCTACAAAATTCTGAATTAATGATCTGAATACTTTTATAAATGAAATTTTATTATATGATCTATTACACATTTGCAACAATTTCTAAAAATGGGTTCCTTTCTGATTATGTATTAAAGAGTGTAAAATGATGTGCAAAATGGCAGTTTTATCCATTTGTAAAGCAAAAAGTCAACACTTGGCAACACTTGCAATGTTCAGAGCAACTATAATGCAAAGATAAAGGACCATGTTTCAGAATTAAGCCTTTGTCAAGGTCTATTGATTGACTGACAAGAAGTTCCATAAATAGTACAAGTATAGGAAAAAAATTATTTTAAAAACAGACAATCACATACAAACTCATACATGTTTTAACTATTTAAAATTAAACCTACAGTCAAGTGTGCAAAAAGTGAAGAGGGTCTTAATTCTTTATGAAGCCACTATATTTTCCCTTTTTAACTTCTATCTGGCCCTAAGACAGCCAAAAGGTTGGACTGGGGGCACGGTTCAGACGAAATAAGCCCTTGTCCCTAACTTTACTACCACCTTCCTGCTACATGTACAAGGTTGTGTATAAAAAGAGTGACTCTTAAACTTGAACCTTTATAGTCACTGTATCACTTTAAGGCTTGTGCTTGAGTAGACCCAGGACAATGAAATAACTGTCCTTATACTTTGACTGTAAGGCACATAATAATGTTTTGTGTATTGATGTACAAGTATGATACTCACGGTGCCTGACAGAATGTCATGAGGACAAGAATCCAAAAGGTGGCTTTTGCAGACTCGCTCATCTGAGAATTTGATTCTCTGCCGCATAGTGTCTCCTAAAAGTAAACCAGAACAACATACACATGAGCATGGACGTATATTCTTGTCTTGTGTGTCCAAACTTAGGAAGATACCGTTACACTCTATATCATTATGGTGTACTCAGACTTGCGAAAAATTAGTCATATGTAACGTTAATCTTAACAGTAATTAGGTACTCCTGAAGAGTCTGATAGAACGACATCATCTACTGGTAAGAAAGAACTGACCAAGACAGAATAAAATGCTAAAAAATTAGCTCGATATTAATGGCAGATGTTCGTAACAACTGAACTTTCCATGTTGTGAACGGAACGACAACAGGTAGCTAGCCGGGTGGCTATCCTCATGTTAGCTAGCTTTGGTTGCAAAGCATGCCTCACTGTCACTGTCTGGCAGAATGGTTAGCTTGTCCCGGCTAAAGCTAGCAGCAACACAAACTCCTGTCCTGATTTTGCCTCACACCGATCTCAACCACAACCAGTCGAGCTTACCATCTCTCCCTGTCCCCATGAGCTGATCCAGCATCGCTCGCATCTGTGCCTGGGCCGACATGTTTGTCTGTGTTCAGCTAACTAACGTTGTCTGAGTCACTCTTCGCTTGCAGCGGTCTTCACACATGCAGCCTCTTCAACTACAGGCCTCGTTGGCGGCTCGTCCACTGCCACCACCGCGGACAACTTTCCTTACAAGAAGGGAAAAAGCCCGATTCCGCTGAGCCAGTGAGCTAGTTGTTGGTAGCGTTAACCTTAGTACGTTTTACTGGATATTACACCACTTTATGAAGAGCTTAATGTGACTTTGTAACGTTGATAACGTTAGCTTCGTGTCGACTAAACAAGTCTGTTTGAAAACTGCTGGAGTCCGTTGGTCGTGTCGTGTGGCGACTTGAGACAGCGGTGACTGAATGTAAACAGGGTGTTTGGTTAGTTCACTAAATTTATATCGAAATACGCAACCAGTTATTATGTTACATAGTATCTAATGCCATTTCTAGCCCGTCGGCTAGAACTTAAGTTTATTTAACGTCCTTCCGTCTTTTGACTTCCCCCTCCGTGCGCATCGCCGCAGAGCGCGCTCCTGTCTCTCCGCTTGGAGGAAGTGCTGCAGACAACCTCGTGCTCTCCTCGGTTGGTGACGTTACACTATAAAATGTACACACATTTTTTTGAAAACTTCTATTTAAATACAAATGACTGTATACACTATAAAATCAGTATCTGAAATACTGTCCTCACATACAAGGCTACCACAAGCAAAGGAGGCTCCAGATCCCCAAGAGCCCCATTCCCCGGTTTATTACCGGAACTATATTTGCGTGTACCTGTATTTTTAAGTCAAATGTTTTGACACACCTTCCCATAGGAAAGTGTAGTGTACTGTATAATGAGATAATGACCCTGATCTCCTAAATATAGAGTCTTGAACAGGACAAAAGAACAGGCTATGCATATGCCAAGATTTGTTAGCTGGAAATATGCAGCAGAGTCCTGTATTTGATGTGGTTAGTGGAAGTGCCTATTTTGTACATATTTAAAATCATTCTTGGTAAATCTACAAATCTGAATTGCCAATTTCGTAAGCACCAATATTTTACTGTTAAACTCAATAGTACACTTTAATTCAATGTATGAACAAACAGAAAAAGAAGTGACGTTTAACAGTTTACATTTGTTTGATTTCTTTAAAACATATTTATTTGCCCTGGCTTTTAATACACAGTAGGGCCTGATGCATTCCTTTTTAATTTTAATTTATTGAATGCATGTCATCTGTGTATCTGTTATTGTGCTGTTTTATTTTATTTTTTTACTAATCTTATTTATTCTATTTTAGTTAATTATTGTGTCTTTATTCTGCCATGCAATGTGCTTTGGTGAACCGAATATTGTTTTTAAAGTGCTATATAAATAAATTTGATTTGATTCTTTAGAATTTTTAAATGAACTTAAATTAATGGACTTTACTATGGACATTACTATGCATGAACATTACACTGCAATGTTTTTCCACTGCTTTATGGTGTCATAAGTTTTGTTGTGGGCCATACATATTAATTAAAAACAAAGAACCCCCTCCCAAAAAAACTAAAAATTTTTTGCTGTTCTGTTTTTAAAAAATTCTCTTGCATAACATTTGGTGGTATCATATAGGATATAGCTGAATCAGAATTACATTTATTGGCTAAATATGTTTAAACACAAGGAATTTGTCTGCTGTACAGAGGCTTTCAATGTGCTTGTGTACGATACACAAACTCTATTTGTCGTAAAATAACTAGCAAATATGATTTTGATGCAATGAATACATTCAGTGCTTTCTCTCACACGCCCTTGAGTCACCGAGTCCCACCCTATCACTGGAAAAATGGCGACGAGTATACTGCGACTCCCGCTGCGACTTTCCATGAGAAAAACGGGGATACTGAGCCATAACACCAGCTTGAAAACATCAAACATTTTCAAGACGCCTCATATTAGAACCAGAGTATCAACGGCGACGGGAGCAATCCTACCGAAGCCTGAAAAAGTGAGTATTTGTCTGGTATGGTTATCGAGAGAAAACGGACAAGACAGGGTAGGCGGGACTTAGCGCTTAATTGACAATGATTGCGTCGAATAGAAAGGCAGGGGATGGCGCTGTGTTACACTAGTCAGCCAATGAACGTGTGTTTACACAAACGAGTCACTTCGAGGAAGTAATTAGCCTTCATCCTTTTTATTCAAGTGGACATTTTACTTAGGTTTTTGAAATCTTGTATAGTTAGGGAGTTAGTCTCTGTAGAGTTATTGTGTTTGACAACTAATAATTTGACCATCTATTGTGTATTATCAAAGAACGGTCTAAGTGTTCGAGTAAAAGGAAGGATTCATATTACAGTAATGTTAGCACTATGAGATTAAAATGCCCCTACACACACAGGCTTAAGTTTAAGTCTCCCTAATGTTTTAGACTTATTGAGTTTGTCTTTATTACCTTTGAAGCCAAGTTGTAAATTTGTGACGAGAACGGGGAAGCCACATAAGCTTCCTACCTAATCTCAGACAAATCATTGGCTCAAAACAAGGAAGTTATTTTCAAGCCCAGAATAAGGGCCAAATTGAAAAATGGGCGCATTCCACATACTCTTTCAGCAGCACAGAGTTAAAGTATATTGCTGTGCTTGTTCTGCTAGAACACTACCAGGAATAAAAATAAACATTGAGATAATGAAGGCATTTAAACTTAATTTTGACTTAATTTTGCTTTAGCTCAAAGCATTTCTAATAAAACACTTGGAGCCTTAAAATGTATGTAAATTCATAACCTTTGGAAAATGTGTTTTGTGGCTTGTTGTCTTTTGGCTTTGTCACACCTAATGTCCAATGGATATGACTATGCTGTGCCAGTTCACGTTAGTGATCTGAACAGTTCATGTGTCCTCCCCTTGAATAATCCTTATCACATTTTCTCCTTATGTTTTTCAGACGCCATTTGGTCTGACCCGTATGACAATAGTGGTGGTACCGTTCTTGTATATGGGAACTCAGATCAGCAAGAGTTTTGCCACTCTCTTGGAGGAGCATGACATCTTTGTCCCTGATGATGATGATGATGATGATTGAGCTAACATCAGAAAACACATGGTAAGGTCAAGGTTTTATTCATAACGTTAATTATGTGTAAAGGTGTGCCAGCTACGTTTATACTGATGACAACTAGTTACAACTGGTAGCTGATGATATTTTTATTTATGTCCACAGGCTGCTTTCCAGTACACACTGAAAACACACCAGCCAGCGCAATGAAGTTAGGGAAAGTGGGGCACTCACTTCCAAAGACATCCCTCTACCTCCACGCACCCCCCTCCCCTATCTTCTGCTGTTTATCTCATTTTCATGAAAATACATTTTAAGAAATCATGTGAGGCTTCCAGAACTGTTAGATATGCCTTCACTCTTGTTTGCATGTTTGTGTCTGTCTACTCAATAAATTGAGTCGATTTCACGTGGAAAACACTTGTTCTTTAATCTTAACAAAAACAGTTTTTGCATTGTGGTTTCCAGTAAATATGTCATAGTTGCTCAAATTCTTACTGACACCTCTAAATCATATTCAACTAGAATCTAAACAACACTTAATATTATTATTAGTATTATATTAATATAATGGTGGTGTTGTTACATTCTGTAATACTTTCTACTGACTTGTCTTTATTTTTCAAAGTAAATGTTTTAGAGTTGTCCTCATTGGTCAGGTCCTTGTTGTCTTGTTCCCTCCTGAAGTGCAGCGCTGGCCAGTCTCAAGTGTTCGTTAAGGGATCCCATCTTCAGCTGATTGCGACCCTTGGTGTCACTCAGCTCTACATAGGCCTCCTTATACCGTTCATAAGCTGCTTCTTTCTCCTAGAGACAAATATAGTAGACACACTAAAGTCAGTCAGGGAAGCATAATGAAATAAAAGTTGACCATGTAAGAGTGTATTATGTAATGGCTTAGCTTATAACATATACCTTCTTAAGACACTGCACTTCGTTCTGCAGACAGCTGATTTCTTTTTTCAGATACTGTACCTCATTTTCTTTTGCTCTTAGCAGTATCTGAAAGACAAAATGTGATTTCTTGCTGTTACCAGTTAAATAAGTTTTGGGACTGCAACTGATCATTATTTGCATAATTGGTTATAAACGTACAGTAAACATAAAGCTATTTTCAAAACAGTCTTAAGAAAGTGTTGTACCTAGGAAAAATAATGGGGGGGGGGGGGGGACACTTGCTTTTTTGGGGGGGGGGGGGGCAATCCTGGCCAGCAATCGAGCGAAGAACATATTAGAATTAATCTTAAAGTGCCATTAATAAAATACTTAAAAAAGATGGGTGTTAAAAAGTGATTTAAAAGATGTTACTGATTATAAAAACCTCACAATCTGCAACTTCTCAGAAAATAGTGAAAACATTTCAAACTGCCTGTTCTGTGAAAGCCAAAGATACAAAGAATTTCTGGCATTTAGTTTGATTCCTTCATCTAGCAGTTGCCAATACATTTTTTGTCAACGGACTAATCAATTAATCATTGCAGACTTAAATCAGATATTTAAATTTTCATTATGAAATGACTGAAACTGCAGCACAAGTGATGGACTATATTGTTATTTTGAAACATACGCTGTAATTCAGGCAGTAGATGGCAGTGTCTGCTGCACCAGAATGTGTTCAACCACAAATGCTCAACATAAATTAGGCCACCAGGGGAAAAAAAAGGTGTGACAATGTGGCATTCAGGAGCCACTTTAATTTTTATTTTATTACATTTTTTTTAAGTGGTCTCAAAATCCCACAGCACATACAGTTTATAAAATGTTTCTTTGGGGCTTCTCATGTTGACAATAAGGTCAAAATGTGTCCAAGTTCATTTTAATATTTCAGGTGCTACAAATGAAACTGGCAGCAAGAGGTTAAGATGTTTAGTATCTCCTACTTGCACACTCAGATTGTGTGGGATCTAATTTGATCCCAAAATTTAAATTCAAACCTCCACGCAAATTCTACTTAAATTCATACCTCTACTTCTGCTGTAGTGCGCTCACTGTTGCCAAGCAATGCCATGTCTGACTTCTGCCCTGTGATGAAATAACGCAAACGGCTGGTCTCTTCTGCCAGTTTAGCCTTTAGCTCCTAAAAAGTGTTATACATTATGCACATCATATTTTCTTATTAATGCAACCTTAGGGAAAAAACAAAACAAACAAAAACAAACTTTGATGGCAATTATTTTAACAGTCTGTAAAGTGGAGTGTTTTGTATTCAATCAGAATCCAATCAGGTTATGTATTGTACTGTATATAAACCTGGTTTTCTCTGCGGAGCTGCTCCAGCTCTATCTCCTTGCGGCCGAGCTCAGTCACTTGGCTGTTGCTACTCTGCTCAGCGCAGCTCAGCTCCAGGCACTTCTGAGAGTAGTGTTGTGACAGCACATCTAACTCACTGTGCAAGACGTCCGCCTGCGGCCTGACACACAAACACACAATTATGGAGTAAATTATAATGCACTATCACGCAAGGGGTCATAGTCGTGTGTATAACATCTCAAGCCTGCAGCAAGAGCCTGTGAGAGCACTCTCACCATGACAACAGACTCTCTTTAACAAACTTACATGTGCCCTCTGTATGAAGTATCCATGGATGCAGCTCCTCCAGACAGCCTCCTGGCCTTCTCCCCCACTCTCTCCAGCTCCTCTCTGTGTGCTGTTCTCAGCGCCTCCACAGCTTTGATGAACAGGTACAGTAGTTAATTAGCTAGGAACAAAACTGTGCGCAATGTGTGAAGGATGCTTCAGGAGTCACTACACAGCTTTAAAAGCAACACAAGACAGGTAAACAAATAAAAACACCAACAAACAGTATCAGTGAACAATATTATTTCAAAAGACTATAAAAATCATTAAAGAAACAAACTGCAATACTTTTTAGTGAAAGGAGACAATGCTTTCATAACTAGTTGTATTTCTCAGGGATGACTCTTGCTTGTTTAAAACAAGTAAGAAATAATATGGAAAGATTTGATCTTTGTGTTTAGTACCGTTTTTCACGTGGTAGCATCAGGGGCCTCCCTGTACTTTTACTACTCTTCTGTAAAGTTTTACTTTGTCCTGATGTCAAGTTTATATATTTTAGAACTATGTTTTAAAACATCAAACACATTCCACCAGACTTGACACTATTTGCATTAGAGTAGAGTTGTGGTGACATGCTTTCTAACTCACAGATTAAACTTCTCTGCATGTTTTTTTTTATGTAGTCAGTATTATCTGTGACATGAAGGTTATAAACCACAGTCCAGTGGTGGAAAGTACAAATATAAGATACTTGTGTGTTACTGAAATATTTCTGTTTTATGCTACTTTATACTTCTGCTCGACTACATTTCAGACAGAAGTGTTGTACTTTTTCTCCACTATACATTTATTTGGCAGCTGTAGTTACTAGTTACACTACTTTACAGATTAAGATGAACAAAGTAGTATAAACAAAAAAATTATTATGTATTATCACTGATTAAACTATCTAGGAGTATATAAAATGGCTAAAATTATCTCCACCTTTATTAGCAGTAACTTTAAAATGCAAATAGTGTAGATATGAATGCATCAATAACTATAATTCATCTATTTAAATAAAATCCAATATTAAAATTTTATGATATGACAAAGTAATGGTCA